TTGGCTGCCACTAGAGTAGTAGAAAATCTACCCTATCTTTTGCATTGACAAGGCAATCTGTCACTAGAGAAGAGAGAGGAAGTCCACTAGACCCCTAAATTCTGACCTGATTCAAAGCAGCAGTCGGCTGCTATTAGGGAAAAGGGCAGGAAATCTATCTGCAGTCTAGGCCCTGTACTGAAGAGCAGGGAGAGGTATCTGTTACTGGGGTGGGGCAGGGACACTGAGACCAAGGCTGCCTAAGACTGAAGCTGGAGCAGGAGAATGAAGAAATCTCCCCTGCTCCCACCATGAGTCTTGCACTGAGTAACAAGTAAGCGAAGCCTGACACTAGGAGAAGGGCAAGAGCATAGAGAAAGAAACCTCTGTGGTGCAGGCATGAAGGACCTACTGAAAGCTGAGAACAAAGTAGGAAAACTGAGAAAAATTGGCACTCTAGAACTTATATTAAATGTAGGATAGTGGCAATCTACCACTGGAAAATGTAAAGCCTGTCGTATAATGAAGATAACTATAGCAAAAATAAAACTCAAACCTGGCTCAATTACTGACTTATTTGACTCAGCCCCCAATGCTAACGGCCTGATGGAAGAAGAGGAATGCCTATTTCCAGATGCAAATATTATTTACCTCACATATAATATTTCATATATATATATGTTCTGTTCTTTCACATATAATATTTACCATTTAACAAAAAATTATGAGACACAGAAAAAAAGCAAGTGAACCTGAATAGAAAATTATCCAAACTGATAGTAGGAATCTCCAAACATAATGTGAAAAAAACAAAAAACAAAACAGAAATCCAGGAGATGTGGGACAAAATCATATGATCTAACAAGTATGTAATTGTACTTATAGAAGGAGGAGAGAGAAAGGGGCCAAAACATGTTTGAAGAGATACTGGCCAAGAATTGTCCAAAATTAATGAAAGACAACAAAACACAGATCCAAGAGACTCAGAGATCCCAAACAGGATTTTAGCACAAACAGGAAATATAAAGAAAAACACAAGGCACATTATTTTCAAATAGCTGAAAACAAAAGATAAAAAGAAAATCTTGAGGCGCTGGCCCGGCAGTGTAGTGGTTAAGTTCGTGTGCTCCACCTTAGTGGCCTGGGGTTTGCAGATTTGGATCCCAGGCACAGACCTATGCACTGCTTATTAAGCCATGCTGTGGCAGGCCTCCCACATATAAGGCAGAGGAAGATGGGCACGGATGTTAGCCCAGGGCCAATCTTCCTCAGCAAAAAGAGGAGGATTGGCAACAGATGTTAGCTCAGGGCTAATCTTCCTC